CAAGTTTTCAAAGGAGCGTAGTTCCATTATGCAAAAAAGCAGAAATTTTTGTGCAGTGGAAACAATCAGTAAACGCCTACCTTTTTGACATTGCCATCTATAAGGATAACAAGCGTTTTCTTGCTGAAATTTGCAGACACATTTTCAACAGACACCATGTTGTATTTGAGAGTCACATTCACAGGAGCAAGAGGCCTCATCTTTGAGACCGGCCAGTATGGAACGAAATACAGCACTGCCTTCGTGGTTTTAACATCACCAATGTTCGGTGGAATGACGAAAACGAATTCGGTTCCCCAGGAATCCGTCTCGTAACCTAATACGTCGCTCTCGGTATGGCAGTATCGCCCTGTAACGTTCCATTAGTTGCAGTAGTCGATACACACACTTCAATAGATGATTTAACCGCTGATTCCAACATTAATCAGTAATTTGTGGCCACACATCAGAGGCTACTTTTATCCGAGTAGCTCTTAGTGGCTCTGGCCGCATGTCGCAATGTATCAAGGAAGATACTCTCCTTTTACTGAGTAAATTAGAGCGGAGGAATGAATGGAGAAGGGGGGAGGGGAGGGGGGAGGAAGGGGAGGACAAATCAAAAAAGTGTTTAGTGGACATTTATATGTTTTTCCTACGTCGAAATGTATTACGACAGGATTGTGCCGGTGTCCGTGTATATCTGCGTGTTTCAGCTTTGGAAATGAAAGTGCTGTAGAAGTAAAATTCTGAGATCATATTCCATGCGCCATATTCGGGAACATATAATTTTCCAACTTAAATTCGATAAGTTGCTACCAACAAAGCTGCAAGCTTGGAATTTTGAGGCTTTTAACTCATCACGCAGTGAAACTTTTGAAGCGTGAAATTGCCTTTAAACTTTATACTATATCGACATAAGGCAGTATGTAATAAAACCTTAAGGTAAAGGGGGAGGCGTTGCTCTAAGATATCAAAACACGCTGAGTATGATGTTTGAGAATTTCTTGGTTTTGGCTTGTCGTGGGAACAATCCATGGTTTTGAGCTGGAAAAGCTGGGAATTCTCAGTCTTTGAGTTTGAGAATTGCCTAGTGAATGTACTGGACAGCCCATACATTATTTCAGTAGCCCACAGTATTTTGACCTGTGTCAAGAGCCGCAATTTGTATTAGACCAGATTCGCTCCCAGAATGCGTGAGGTCGCAGATGCTGTGGATGCAGGT